GCTCTATCCATATAGTCTCACTGGATGAGCTATCCGAGGTGACCTCCCTCAGTATATTGTGATAGTCTCCTTTTTCAGTAACACAACTCCCCCACCTTTTCTACATCCCCCTCTGTCTTGCCTGCTGAAACGTCTAAATCCCACAAGGCCATCGCCTCCCCGATAAAATTAGAGGCAATGAGACAAGAAGGGCCAAAAGCTCTACTTTAGTGAGCGTAGTGTTGAACAGGACTTGGTCTGAGTTAGGACTTGGAAAGCAGTTTGTTTATGGAAGGTGGGTGGCCAACTGGAAGTGTGTTTGGAGTAGAGATAACAAACATCAAATTTACATCACCATCTTTACATGATGTCTGTCCATGTGTATTAGTGTAAAGTAACTCCAGACTATGCTGCATAGTCATGTAAATGTTTCCTTGTGATTTCTGAACTATTTCACTTTAAGTTTGACTTCAGTTTCATGTCACAAATATAGAAGTAGAATTTCATGAATTTTAGATTCCCTTGATTGCTGCACTGTTGGGGACTGTCAAATTGCGTTTTACTGAACTATTCTTATGTTTTCAGGTAATGGTTTATGGAAGATTCCCCCCAAAATACTTGGTCGTATCGAATTAGTATTAAACAGTGTCCGAGAGAGTCTCTTCCAGCTTCTTCAACCAAAATTGAAATGTGAATTGGGTAATTCTTGTACATACTGTACAACTTTATAAGCTCTTTTAATTTACTTTTTTTTACAGAAGTGGTTTTTATTTTGTTTAATTTGCAGAAAATGGGCATGCTACTAATGCAATAAAAGCAAAAATTCTGGTGGTACTCAGCAGGTATGGCAACAAGTGAGAAACCAGGATGATATTTCAGCTCAGTGACCTTTCATAAGTAGAAACTGTTGAAATGCAATAGGTTTTGAACTAGTAAATGGTGAGGGGATGAAAAGAAGAAGAAAAGAGAAGGTTTATGTTCCAGTGAAAGCCAAGTGAAGTGAGAAAAAATTTCGTGGTGCAAGGTTAAATGAGATGGTAATTGAACCAGGAAATGTCTTGAGATGATTAGAATGGCAAGATTCTGAATAACTTCTGTCTGACAGCAAAGGACACTTTATAAAAAAAAAAAGTTCCAAACCAGTAAAGAAATCCAAACAAGAATCAGTATTAAAGGATATCATTTAAAATTGCTGACTCGATGTTGAGCTCTGCCAATAGGAAGGGTGTTCGGTCAAAAGGTGAGGTGCTGGTCTTTGGCTTCTATTGAGCTTCTAAAGAGTACTGCAGCAGATCAAGAGTAGTAAGGTGAGAGTGGGATCAAGGTGTGAAATTAACATTACAAGTGAATGAGAGCTTAGGGTTGTACTGGTGGAGTGGTGTTCCACAAAAACCGTCACCTAATATGTGTTTGATTTCTCTCTACTCCCCAGCACATTTAGGGAAGACTATACTGTGCATCATGTACAATACAGAATTGAAAGAAATACAAGTAAATGACTTTCAACCTAGGTGTGTTTGGGGTGTTGACTGTCGGAAATGAACACAAATGGCGGCTGTTGCATCCCCTGTGTTTGTGTGAAAAGGTGCAGTAGGAAACAAAAGTCTTAAGGGAAGCTAAGGTGTGGCCAAGGGTGTCATGGAGAGAATGGTTCCTTCAGAAGATTGAATGTGGCAGGATGCGCGGATAAAGTGTTCAGTGGTGGCATTGTGCTGGAGATGGCAGAGATGGAAATGAAGATGGAAGCCTCAGATGTGGGAGGTGAGAACAAGGGAGTACCATTAATGTAGTCTGGAGAGATGTTAAATGCGAGAAATAGAATGGACACTGCCGAGGGCCTTGTCAATTACAGTAGGGATTAGAATCCTCAGTTGAAGAAAAAGAGTGAAATTGGAAGCACTAAGATGAAAGTTTGCAAAGTTCAAACATGAGGTGGAGAAACTCAATTGGAATAAAGTCCTGTCATGGCTTTACTGGGGAGAGTGTGCCAATTTTCCCCAGGGTAGGGGAGTCCAAAACTAGAGGACATAAGTTTAAGGTGGGAGGGGAAAGATATAAAGGGACCTAAGGGGCAACATTTTCACACTGAGGGTGCTGCGTGTATGGAATGAGCTGCTAGAGGAAGTGGTGGAGACTGATACAATTACAACATTTAAAAGGCATCTGAGTGGGTATATGAATAGGAAGTGTTTAGAGGGAAATGGGCTAAATGCTGACAATTGGGAGTAGATCAATTTAGGATATCTGGTCGGCATGGACGTGTTGGACCGAAGGGTCTGTTTCCATGCCATACACCTCTATGACCCTGTATTCATGTTCCACTGTTCACAAGCCATTACAAAATGTGTGAAATCCAATTAGGTCAAAATCCCGGAGTTTATTCCGTAATAGCATTGTGGTCTACCTAGAGCTTTTGGACTCCAGTTCAAGAAGGCATTTCACAACCCTCTCAAGGGCAACTAGGGACAGGCAGTAAATGCTGGCTGACCAGCCAGCGATGCCCACATCCCACAGTGTGAATTTTTTTTAAATAATGAATTTGACTGACTTCTATTCAGGACACCAGCAGTTCACATCAGGCTTATTCATTAATAGAAAATATCTACGTATTGTGCACATTTCTTTTGAACAAATGGCAGAGAAAAGAAAGAATAACCGATCTTTGACTATACAACTTAACACCGCAAATAAACATGCATGCACACTCAGTCACAACTAAAGCAAGCAGTTTGACACCAGTAGGGAAAAAGTACAGATGGGGAACACAATCCTGAAGATCAAAAGTACAGATCACAATGGTGGGTTAAATTGTATCTTCAAGTTCCTTTGATTTTTAGTAATGATGACACTGTCATCTGTAAAATGATGGTCTTTCTTCACCTGAGTAGTTGATCCACTAAAGCTAGATCTTTCCTTAGAATTCATTGTTTTTTTTTGTCTTTTCACTGACACCAGGAGAAGGGCAGTGGTAGATGTTTTCAGTTTACAAGTTCTGGATAGGTCTGACTGCTGTGCATATTAAAGAAACTTGGATCAATGAAGGGGAGGAAAATTGGGAACTCATTACCCTCATTACAAGGTATTCAGAAAAGGAAGGAATAAAGGAAAAAGGGAAGGATTGGCAGTTGCGCTCAATGAAACTAATAGCACTTAAAAGAGATGTCATCGAGGGGGTCAAAAACAGAGTATGTTTGCATTGAATTCAGGAACAATGATGGAGCTATTATACTGTTGTGTATCATGCCTAACTAAAGGCATCATTACAGCATTAATTGTGTCAACTATTTCGACTAGTATCCACAAAAACAGAACAAATCCAACCTGGTCAATTACCACCCATTCGTCTACTTCTGAGCATCAATAAAATGATGGAAAGATCAATAAATAGCAAAAGCTTGTGTTCCAATGCTCAGGTTAGGTTCTGTCAGATTCACTGTGCTCCTGCCCTCATTGCAGCTTTTGTCCAATTACGGACACGAGGTGAACTCGGGGTAGTGAGAATGACTGCGCTTAACATTAAGGCAGTATTTGACCCAGAATGGCATTAAGAAAGAAATGGAAATTAGAAAACCTCCACTCATTGGAATCATAGCCATCTTCCTTTTATGCTGAGAGTGATTGTTAGAGGTCAGTCATCTAAGTTCCAGGATATCGGTGCAGATATTCCTCTGTTGCAGGTCCAACTATTTTCAACTGCCTTATTCATCAATGACTTTCCCTCTGTTGCAAGGTTCGGAACTGGGATGTTCACTGATGATAGCACAATGTTTTGCGTCATACATGATTGGGGTGGCTGGGGTGAGGCCCACCATTGACCAGAATTTGATCTGAATCAGTCATATAAGTACTGTGACTGCAGGAGAAGGTTAGAATTTGGGTGTTCTGCAGTAACTCACTTCCTGACTTCCCAAAGCCACTATCTACAAGTCAGAAGTCCAAGAGTCTAATGGAAAACTCTCTACTTTCCAGTATGAGTACCCAACACAATTTAGGACAAGGTAGCCCACTTGATCAGTAACACACTTGACCATATGCCAACTTTAAGCATTCATCCCACCTGCCACCATTGCACAGTGGTAGCCATGTGTACCATATAAGGATGCACCAAAGAAACTCACCAGACTTCTTCAACAGAATCTTCCAAACCCATAACCTCTTTGACTTAGAAAAGTAAGGGCAGCAGATGCAGAGGAATGCTATGACCTTATTATTCCCTTCCAAGCCCTGGGCCATCCTGACTTGGAAATACGTCACCATTCCAACACTGTAGCTTAGTCAAAATCCTGGAAATCCTTAACAGCACTGTGAGCATATCTGTACCCCAAAGACTGCAGCAATTCATGAAGGTGGTCCACTGTCGTCATCTTGACGGCAATTAGGTTGACCAATAAATGCTGGCTTAACCAGTAACACCCACCTCCTATGAACAAATAAGTTATAATACTTTGGCAGTTTTTTTCCAAAAAACAAATGTCAATTTTCAAGGTTTCAGTTGATAGAAGCTGAATACCTTGGTAATAACGTTTTGAACTCCACTGCTAACATTTGGTAGAGGAATTTCAAAGCAAAATGTCCTGAACTTCTATCAGAGTCCTAGTTACCTGCAAGTTTTAACAGTCACCCGTTATCATGTTAGCATTAACATACTGAAAACAGTGGGGAAGATTCTTAAATTGTGCAATTACTGTTGTTTCCAACAGATGACTTGTGCTAGACTTCAGTCAGTGCAATCTGCACTTTTTCTGATGAAGGGTCTAGGCCCGAAACGTCAGCCTTTCTGCTCCTATGATGCTGCTTGGCCTGCTGTGTTCATCCAGCTCTGCACCTTATGTCTGTATTCTTTTTCTCTCCTGTTGACAATGAGCTATACTCTGAAATCCTCTTTCAAATGCCATCTCTCTTTGCCCTCCACCCCCTCTCCAAAAGAAGAGTGGCTGTTATTGGAATTAGAATGTAGCATGGAGCTTGTGAGGATTTAGTCTTTACTATAATACATTAATATATTTTCTCCTCTCTTTCAGGAGTCCCCGATAGCCCAGTCTTTGCTTTTCCACAACTCCTACGGCAGGATCCAAACGTTGAGGCGCTGTTCATGCAATCATATATTTGGAGCTTTGAATGCACGAAGTGTGGCTATAAATGTGAGGAGAAGTAAGTGTATTTTTAATTAAGTTTCATTAATTATATTAAATCACAATTTAGGTACCAGACCAACTTTAATTAGCACACATTTCCTTGTTTTGGATGTGAATTTTCAGCATTTCTCCATTTCTTTACTGAAAACATGTTTGGATTTTAGAAATTCAAAAATATTTTAGTCTGAAAAGCTTTGATTCTCTATTGTGACACCATTCAGTTTTATCATGCATTAATGCCAAAACAGTGAAAGAGTAAAATAATGCAGTTGATTTTTTTTCTGTAACCTTACGTGAATCTAATGGATTGCTTAACTAATGTTAGACAAATCCAACAGTAATAAGAACTACAAAAGATTTAGAAACAGGATTAGACCATACAGATTTTCACCTCTCCCATTCAATAATATTGTGGCAGATGTGATCACCACCTCGATTCTACTTTCCTGCTGCCCTTGACACACTCATCTGTCATAGATCTACCTAACTCTGGCTTGAATGAATTCAATGAGACATCCTCCACTATAGAGAATAGAATTCCACAGATTAACAATCCTATCCTCTCACTAAAGATTTCTCCTAAATAATTAAAGGTTAATCTGTTGGACAACAGTACGCAATTTATCTAAGTTCAAAATATTTTGTATTTTTCTTCACGGCTGCACCCTTGGAATTAAAACAGGTAAGAGGCACCATTTTGAATAAACCATCTCGAAAATTCTTTGTGTCAGTGCATTGTTCCTCTGGCTGTTCTGCTGTACAGAAGCCTTTGCACATGCCAGACTGATAAATTCTTGTCCTGGAAAACAACTATCCCTTGTGTTTTCCATTTACAGATAGACAATTATAGCATCTCGAACATAGTCATACAGCATGGAAACAGACCCTTCAGTCCAACCAGTCCATGCTGAACGTAATTCCAAACTAAACTCATCCTACCTGCCTGCTCCTGGCCCATATCCCTTCAAACCTTTCCTATTCATATACTTATCCACGTGTCTTTTAAATGTTGTATTTGTACCCACATCCACCACTTCCTCAGAAGTGTAAAAAAATTTGTTCCTTGTTTTTAATTAAACCTTTCTCCTCTCAACTTAAAAATGTGCCCCCAAGTCTTGAAATCCTCCATACTTGGGAAAGTAGTGAGAGGATAGTCTTAGATTACAGGAGAATATGGATGGGCTGGTCGGTGGCAAATGGAATTCAATCCGGATAAATGTGACACAATGGACTTGGGCAGGACATATAAGACAGGGGAATGCATGATGAACGATGGGACCTTGGTGTGCATGTGCATCGATACAGGTGGATAAAATGGCTAAGAAGGCATTTGGGATACCTGTCTTTTTTTAGCCCAGGCATAGAGTTTAAGAGCAGGGAATTTATGCTGGACCTGTATATAATGTTGGAAGGCCATAGCTAGAACATTGTGTGCAAATCTGGAATCCACATTATAGGAATGATGTTATGGCACTGGAGAATTGTTGCCTGGACTGAAGGATTTATGAAAAGAGATTGGATGGGCTGCGGTTGTTTCCTTCTAGCAGAGGAGATTGAGAGGGAACATAATTGAGATGTATAAAATTGAAGGGTATAGGTGAGGTAGACATGAATAAACTTTTCTCCTTGACATAGAGTTTAATGACTAGAGGGCATAGATTTAAGATAAGGGGCAGGTGGTTTAGAGGAGATGTGAGAACCAGTTCTGAGGAAGGGTCACTGGACCTGAAACACTAACTCTGATTTCTCTTCACAAATGCTGCCAGAGCTGCTGAGCTCTTCCAGCAATTTCTATTTTTGTTTCTGATTTACAGCATCTGCAGTTCTTTCAATTTTTATTTAGAATAGTTAGGTGGTGGCTTTTGACTGTCATGGAAGCAGTGGGCCAAAGTGCCTTTCTCTGCTATAGAACTCTATGACTGTTATGACATAGTACAGGCCAAGGTGTACAAAGCATGCCAGGATTATCTTGCATATCATTGCAAAAAATTCTGAACTTGAGCATGATTGGAAATTGTATGGATTGTAGGGATCAAGGAAGTGGACTCTGGTTAATCAACTTTGTTTCCAAGGCAAAAAATGTTCAGAATACTTTTGATGTGGGGGTGACAAGAATTTGTGAAGGAACAAAAGGATTTTAAGTGTCGAGGTGCACAAATCACTAGAGTATATCAACAAAGAGCAATTTAAAAGAATAAAGGAATATTGGAAATTTATTTCAAGGAATGAGGAAAATCATGGGGAATAAGTTATGCAATTTGCACAACTTTATTTAGCCCTGCAGAAATGTTTACTCCTATCGATTCAGGTGATGAAGAAAGACATCTTGATTATCT